TCCGCATCGCTCGGTTGGATTTCCAAAAAATTTTTTTTTAATTTTATACACTTTTCAAAAGGTTCAGGACCGACAGTGTACTTAATACACTATCCGGCACGAACAGCATCATTTTTAGTGTAAGTCTGCCGACGAACTATCTCTTTAAAACACGAAATCACTACTCATTGTTTTAGCTTTGTCTCTACACACAAATATCTGTTGAAGGCTTATTAATGATGGGCAGAGATTCGGACGAAACGTGATCGACATATTATTATGGATTTCGTTGTGTCTTGTCGTCGTTTTTATCTGTTAATCTACATTCTGTGAAATATGACACAAATAAATTGACAAGTTATTTTTCTATCCTCTCTTCCTTGCCATTGTTATTCTTCTACTATATAAGGCCTCCCTAGACTGATAGTTTACAATAATGATACCCTTACTTTCTATTGTTTTCTCTTGTTGCTCTTTTATCCTTATCGTTATACTCACTAGTGCATAATTTTTTCTTATCGACCAATGTAAATATCACTTTATAAGGACATTGAAAGTCAATATAATAAAAAGATATACACGAAAGTTGGAAAGAATAACGATAAGATAAGTGAAATTGTTGCACTTATCCAGGGCTGCCAAATCTCCTGATTTAGTCAGGAGACTCCTGGTTTTTAGACTTTTCTCCTGATGAAAAAATCTCCTGAATCCAGGAGCTGATTTTTATGATTTTCTCCTGGTCTCTCCTGATTTTTTAAAGGATTTTGTCACGTTTAATTGTACTGATATTTTGAATCAATAAGACAAAGAAAAAGAGAACTATCACACTATTTCATAGATGCAATAGACAATAAGAAAACACGTCGTTTCTGCTTGTTAGGCCTGATAACATGCGTTTATTTGTGAGCTCATTTTCTTGACGGTTAAAATGTATCTCATGCACAAAAACTAGTTTAGTTCGCTTTTTCTATATCAACCTAGAATGCTATTTGTGAATTAACCTCCAGCCATATGAAATTTTTGTGGGCTGAGAATAGAAACGATTTGAGGTGCAATCTTATTGGTGCATAATTAGGAACTAAAATGAATAATCATCTCAGTTGTACAGAGTTCTATAATCATCCTTTAAATAATTCAAACCTATTGAAACTAACTCAGTCTTCAGACAAATATGGCCATGTTCATAGGTGGCGGAACGTTTTGGATCTAGGGTAGGCTCAACAATTTTTTACAAGATTTGCACTAGAAAATTAAAAATATGGAGTAAGCCAATTTTTTTGATCCCATCTTGATGAAACAAAGTTAGTATTTCTCATTTTGAACTCGTATTTTGTAATGTATGACGCTGATAGAGATAAGAAAAGCATTTGCAACTTATGTGTCAAAAAACGTGCATTTAAGAAAACATGTCGATGATTATCTTCATTGACTTTCAACTCTCACAAGAATTCTTTTCCATCTGCTGTGCTAAAAAATAAAATAATGTCCAAGCAGCAATGTTCACAAAAACGACATTACATTATGAATGTTTTTATTGTGTTGAAAAGATATTTTTTCTACGGGAATATTTTTCTATACTCGTCGTTTTCTCGCTCCATTTTGTGAAACACGATCTGAAAGGAGTGTTGAAGTGTTTAGGGGCAGAAATTTGTACCCCCCCCCCTCCCCCCACAGATCGTGACAGACAGGGCTTTGGGCCCGTCACAGACCGTGACAGACGGGGTTCTGGACCCATCACAGACCGTAACAGACAAGGCTTTGGACCCATCACAGACCGTGAGAGACGGGGTTCTGGGCCTATCACAGACCGTGACAGACAGGCTTTGGACCCATCACAGACCGTGACAGACAGGGCTTTGAACCTATCATAGACTCTAACAGACGGGCTTCAGGAGCCATCATAGACTGTGATAGAAGACTTCAAAGAAATATCAGAGATAATGCATAACTAACATATGATTGGAGCGTATATGTAGTATTATCTTGTTCAACCTATATAATGTAAAGTAAGCCATGATGAAGAAATGTACGCCAATATGCATAGAAAACAACAGTTTTAGAACATTAGAAGCAGCAGCTGCATCGTGTTTCACATTTTTAATCCTGCGAGGGATTGCGCTAACAACTTTCTTATGGCAATGGGAACTCCATTAAGTATTGGTGTTCTCGCATTTTTTCTCGTATTTGCATACATATTCCGATACATGTATGTAACAGCTTTTTATTTTTATGTAACTAACCTACTGTAGCTCCAATCATAATTATATTTTTAATTTGAAGTCGTGTCACGGTTATCCTAAAATCTAAAAATAAAACTGGAATATGAATTCCTGAAGTCTTAGAGTTAGAAGTGTAAATCGACGAGCTGAGTCGCAGCTGTCGGTGGGACAAAAAAATTAACAGTTTTGAAGATTTTTCGACGCCTGAGATCACTTGTCAACGATGTTTCTGTCTAGGTTTTTTTATCAGTGTGTTCTCTACCACTGTTTTTTCTTTTTCCATCCGACAATTTCTCGGAAATAAGAAAACTTTAAAGAAATCGTCCAACAAATTCACTCGTCTCCGCCGATAAATAAAAAAAGTTGAGCATTTTCAGTCGCTGCTGAAAGAAAAAAAAAAGTCACACTTACACACACCATCGATGTATGGATTGGTGTGCGCTTCTGCTCATGAAAGTGGAAATAAATTTTTGTCCGGAAACGAGAGTGTAAGAACAAGAATAACCATTTTTTTCTGAGAAAGAGAATGTAAGAACAAGAATAAAAATTTTTTTCCGAAAAAGAGAATATATGGGCGAGAATAAAAAAATTTTTCTGAGAACAAAAAGAATAGTCGAGAAAAGTTGCTCTCATAACACTAATGCTCGGGTATGAGAATTTAGTTGCTAAAAATGATGAAAGTCTTTGGCAGCTACTAGCTGATATGATTCAGGTTTTTTATGCAGTACTTCGTCACTTTTAACGAAAGAACTCCACTTTAAATCATAGCTGACCCAAGATTGGACATTTAGCCACACAAAACTAAAAGTTTTCTCAAAAATAGTTTCTAGGTCTGTTTCAATAAATGTTACTATTTATTGCCGATAGCGGCAAAAAATCTTGACGTCCATACAAAAGTTTTTATGTACTGCACAAACCTATCAATTTGACGTAGTAGAAAACAATTATTTGAGGGTACCATAGTCTATGGAATCTGAACCTAAGATGGGCTTTAGTCTACTGAAGTCGTGTGATTCCATAGTCTATGAATAGATCCTATCTAAGTCTTCATTTATTCCATCCGCGAACCCACCTAAGCCTTTAACTGTTCAATCTAGAGTAGGCTCGAGCATACTCAAGCCTTGTGACCCTTCCGTTTATGGTCATGTTACAAAAGTGACATGAACGGTATAGTTGATAAATTATTGTTTATGTATGCTCATTTTGTTTAGTTACATATTAACGTCTAATTAAACTTCACTTTCTATTTTGTCGGTATATTTTGATGAACCACTGTGAAACGAGTAGTAAAATAAATTCCACAGAACTATCTTTTTTTTGTAATATATATCATTTAAAGGAAATTTTGTCATCAGTAACTTAGTAGAAGAACATAACAAGTGATTAGATGAACGAGAACTTCAGTTTTCTTTGAGAGAAGACCACTAACTCATTTTCTGATTTCAGTAAACATCTCCTGATTTTTCTCCTGATTTTTCAGTAAAAATCTTCTGGTGAACTCCTGATTTTTCTCAAAAAATTCCTGGTTTTTGAAATTTGGATTTGGCAGCCCTGCACTTATCTCTTTTTTTCAACTGAAGCTAAGGAGAATTTATCATCGAGTATCAACGAAAAATAACCCATGTTTCATGTCGCAGAAAATCTGAAAAATAAAAACAACAGGTACTGACCGTATAAATAGAAAAGGCGACCTCTGTATAACTAACAAGCAATTATTCATCGTTTTAAATTGAATAACAACATTTCATATACGATTCAAGCGAGCACAATCCTAACAACATATCCCAATTCGTTATGTGCGCCGCTGCGACTGCAAAATCTTCGCCTATTGCCAGCCGACCAAACCGAGGTCGACTTCAAAATTATTTACTGATATGGGTCGATGGTAACATCGACAAAAACAACAAAGATTGCGCAAACACGCTGGAGAAATTGCGCAGTGTCGTCAGAGAAGTCAATCTCTGTACGACTCCAGCGCAATGTATTCAATTTCTGAATGATATGGATAACGAAAAAGCGTTCGTTATCTCGTCTGGAGCTTTTGGACAGCACCTCGTACCGCAGATTCATGATTTGTCACAAGTGAACGCAATTTATATCTTTTGTGGTAATAAAACAAAACATGAAGCATGGACAAAAGAATGGGCAAAGATTGAAGGTGTTTTCACCTCAATCAAGCCCATATGTGAATCGTTAAAGAAGGTCACCCGTGAATGCGACCATGATACCATTCCCATGAGCTTCGTTCCGAAGCAAACGACGGCAGCTACATCAAGTCAAGAAAATCTGGACCAATTAGAACCATCTTTCATGTACTCGGTGTTGTTCAAAGACATTATATTGGAAATCAATGAAGACGACGCGAAGCCGCTGAACGATCTGGTACTCTACTGCCGTAAAAGAGATACATCTGAATCAGAATTAAATTTTTTTCAAAGTAATTACCACAAGAAATCGCCAATTTATTGGTATACATGTGAAATATTCCTTTATGGTATGCTTAACTACGCTCTACGATCACTCGACATGGAAGCCATGACAAAAATGGGCTTTTTCATCCGAAACCTTCATCAACAGCTGGAACAACTGCACAAAGAACAAGCAAAGACTTTTACGAAAAAATTGATTGTTTATCGTGGTCAAGGGCTTATTGAACAAGATTTTCAGCATCTAATGGACACGAAAGGTGGACTGCTCTCATTTAACAATTTTTTGTCAACTAGTACAAAACAAAAGATCGCTATGGAATTTGTGGAACGTACAATGCAGAAAAATAAAGACATCGTGGGTGTTCTTTTCATCATGACAATTGATCCAAACACAATATCGGCGGCAACTACTCCATTTGCACTTATCGACGACTACAGTGCTATTAAAACCGAAAAGGAAATCCTCTTTTCAATGCATACTGTTTTTCGTGTCGATGATATCAAACAATCAGTTAGCAATAGTCGTCTGTGGGAAGTTCAATTGACTCTCACCGGTGACAATGATCCACAATTGGCTGCTCTTACTAAAACCATACAAAAGGACCTCTATGGATCCACCGGATGGCATCGACTGGGTCAACTGATGCTCAAAGTGGGTCACTTCAATCAAGCTGAAGAACTCTACAATGAATTACTCAAGAATGCTTCCAGCGACAGTGATAGAGCACATATTTATCACCAGCTTGGATTTTTAAAAGGCAATAAAGGACAATATCAAGAAGCAGTTGCGTTTTATGAAAAATCACTCGAAATCAAGAGAAAAACTCTTTCGGAAGATCATCCTTCATTAGCTAATACCTACAACAACATTGGTCTCGCATATAAGAACATGGGTGACTACTCTAAAGCGGTGGAATTCAACAAAAAAACCATTAAAATAAAAGAAAAAGCTTTATCTCCGAATGATCCAGATTTGGCTCTGTCCTACAACAACATCGGTGGAATGTATAAGAACATGGGTGACTACTCGAAAGCACTTGAATTTTACCAAAACTCACATAAAATCCTCGAAAAAGCTCTGCCTTCGAATCACCCTCGTTTGGCTACTTCCTACAACAACATCGGTCTCGTGTATAGCAATATGGGTGACTACTCGAAAGCACTTGAATTTTACGAAAAAGATCTCGAAATCACGAAAAAAGCTATGCCTCCGAATCATCCCGATTTGGCTACTTCCTACAACAATATCGGTTTGGCGTATTCCGGCAAAGGAGACTACTCAAAAGCACTCTCATTCTTAGAAAAGGCACTTTCTATCTTGCAAAAATCTCTTCCACCTAACCATCCTAATATTAAAACAGCTAAAAACTCAATTGACAATGTAAAAAAGAAAATGTAGCTGTAATTTTTTCTTTTCACTTGCTCAATAAATTTATTCACATTGCTAATCGTTTCGATTTTTCTGGGCTCATTTTGGCTTACGCGCGCGCGCGACAAGGAAGAGATCCCTTGTCAATGCCATAGGTACCACAGGCGGACCACGCCGGACTGGTAGGGCAATGGCCGAAGGTATGCTGTATTAACACGGTAGGAACCAACGACTCATAGAGGCCTTCCCTAGTACTACACTGCTTCGCTATGGCACGAAATTTTCTGTCCCTATTGAATCAGAGAACGTAGTTCTCTGACCCACACTAATAACATTCATAACTCAACTCAACTCATCTCAAAAGTACTCATACTCATAATAACTGATAATATTTATTTTTTCTCGAAATAGATTATCTCAACTCAACTCAACATGTAAAAAAAAATTTTTTTTCCTACCTCTCAATGTTGTATTGTATCGTAGCTCATCTAAAAAAAAAAGTATTGTTAAATATAAAGACAAATAATCTACCTTATTTAAAATTTAATGATATCATTATCATTGTAAATAATATAATAATAATAATAATAATAATAAATAATGTACCCGGGTATAGAATTACATTGTAATGTATCATATTGAGAAAACGCGAATGTACTGTTTTATGATGATACATCCATGTTTTTATATACACTATGGTTCATTGTTTAATATTCAACGGTTTTGATTGACTTTTCATCAATCACATCACACACGTGAATTGATGTTTCTTCGTGTGTTTTAATTGATTTGACGATCAATCTTTATGTAGTGATATATGTATGTTTTTTTTAATTTCTTTTTTCTCATCTGACGGACATCAATATCATGTCGTCGTCGTCGTAGTCGAAAAAAAAATATTCGTCTTATGTATATATGTAGAGCGTGAGTTGAAAAAAATTTTAACATTCACTACCACACCCACATCCTTCATCACCATCTTTTGAAATAAAAATCTTCGGATATTTCATCACAAACAACATGAATTCGATCTACGCTGTTTCATAGTTTTTATTTAAGTAAAAAATTAATACTAAAAAAAATATGTTGACACGAATGAAAGTGATTTTCAAGTTGCTGTACTCGATTCATTTGTTCAATTACTTTTAATTCACATTAATTGTAGTATACTAAACACTGACAAAATTTCTTGTATTTCTGATCTATCGCTTATTTTTGAATAGAATTTCTTACGAAATTTCTTATTATGTTGTCACAAAGCAAGTAAACATGACTTGCAACGTATGATAAGAAGAAAAGAAAAAAAATATTTTCAAGAAAAATAAATTATTGTTTGAATTCTTTTTTTTTAGTTTTAGCAGTATTAGACTTAGTTGTATATGATACTATTGTTGATAGTATTCAACATGAAGGTGATTAATGGAATTGTATTTCACGACAAATTGTCCATGGACTTCTTATTCATTTACAATTACTTGTTACTATGGCATCATCTAAGGTTATTTTTCTTTCTTTGATAATCTTAGATTTCACTTTACTTTTTAGGATCAATCACTTTTGGATATTTATTCTACACAATTAACAAATTTTATTGTTGTATCATTATTTGAATTACGATTAATTGATCCATTTATTGTTACATTTCGAGCATTAGCAAACAGAAAAGTTCGTTTTTTTTTTATTCATGAAATTTTTCTAAAGTTTAAATTGTTTTTATAATATCAATCGTCCTTTCCGTTTAGTTTGGTCCATAATTGGATTTATCTTCTATGATAGTACCATTTATTTGAATTTAAAATTTCTATCGTTTTATAATACCTCTAATTTTATTTTAGCTAAACAATTCTAAACAATTTTCGTGAATTTTTAATTCATGATGAAACTATACATCATCTTGATACATTTTCATATTAATAATTTTCTTGGCTTTATAGATCGTACATTAGCTG